TGTTTCTTCTTCCCTCTCTCCTAAAGTCAAACTGAACTGTTTCATCTTGAGGTAAATGACCATTAAGCACATAAGAGTGATATAATGACAAACTGATGAACAAAAACAAAATGTTGTCCTGTTATTGTCATTGTACTTAAGGTTGCCATGGCTACAGAAATTGGAGGAGCATCCTTAGATGACACAATACAACCAGCTGTGCGATTCCTCATGTCCCATGAACTGGAAGTCCAGTTCAACCTTTTTGGCAACATGGGAAACAAGCTCTTGGACCTGCGTCTCTTTGATGTTTTGTATGGTAAATATCAGTTTTTATTGTCAGAGTAACTTTTTTTTTCACTTTTCTTTCTTAAACATATGTTAATTTATTTTGGTTGTTTTATGCTTTTGTTTGTTATTTTTAGTAATGTGTTTAGGTTAAAAATTGAGTCTTCAATTTTTGGTTTTATTTGAACAGTATTCTTTCACTGTTGTTAAGAACTTACAAATTTGAAGGTAATATTGTTTGCATTTCAAACAATATTAAAATAACCCACAAAACCACGATAGAACCTTTCCTATGCTAGTAGTTGATTTATATAGATGGATATATTTTAAATTTACAGTAAGAATATAGTTTCTGTACATAATAATGATGACTCAAGAGTCCTTTTGATTATGGCATATCTCTGCAAGCATTTTTGCCCCATGAAGGGGGAGATGCAAATCTCATGAATGTTACATTGTGCTAAAATGAAACACTAATACAATTTCTACCTTTGCTTGTCATTTCAGGGGACTTAAAAGAAATTATCCATCTACAGAATCACACAAGCATACAGCAAAGACTCTCAAAGTGGTTTACTGGAGCCCGAGTGGAAGTGGAAATAGACTAGAGAGACTGCCAGTTCAAACTCAGGTTGGGGAGGTCTTTCAAGATGGACAGTTTCATTAAAGTATGAGAGATTTCAAATTTAAGCATGCATATGGCATGTAGGTTATTTTTAAAAATGTTTAACAAAAATGTATTGTGAAAGATCTATATAGGTGTGTATATTCACATTGTGTGTATCAATGTGAATATACGTGTATAAAGTTATATAGATAGTATTTAGATGTATACATTTATAGACCTGTAGGAAAATATGTAGGTGTCTTTATTTGTGTGCATCTATAGATATATATTTATAGATCTGTTTATAAGTTTGTTATAGTAAACTAGCTTCTGTTATTTTCAAAGATGTCGTGAATAATTTCAGATTTCTTTTTGTGGCACCATTCCCTGAGTATTAATGAAGTTCTAATAATTGCTGTAGTGAGGTAAAAAATAACTCCTGATTAAATTACCAAATAAAAGCCTTGAGCAAAATAAATTTTTCATCTTTTTTTATTTTTTATTTGAACACGTTTTAAGCTAGACCTTGGATTGTTGATCAAGATTGCATATCTATGAATGTAATTCACATCCAGGTTAGATGAGAATTGTTCCTACAGGATTAAGGCATCTGGGTCCCGCTGAAAGCCCAGTCAGCACCCATTGAAATCAACCTGGGCAAACCCATGTGGGGCCACCATGGAAACCGTGGACAAACCCACTTGTTACCCATATTCTAGCCCAGTTCAGACCCAATTGGGACCCAGGTAAATTTTCCTGACAGCACCCTAGTGGGCCACAGATGAGCCTCATGTAAGTTAACCACATGGGCCCCACTGAAAACCCAGTTAGCACCCATAAAAATTTACTTGGGCAAACCCATGTGGGGCCACCATCGAAACCGTGGACAAACCCACTTGTTACCCATATTCTAGCCCAGTTCAGACCCAATTGGGACCCAGGTAAATATTCCTGTCAGCACCCTAGTGGGCCACAGATGGGCCTCATGTAAGTTAACCACATGGGCCCCACTGAAAACCCAGTCAGCACCCATTGAAATCTACTTGGGCAAACCCATGTGGGGCCACCATCGAAACCGTGGACAAACCCACTTGTTACCCATATTCTAGCCCAGTTCAGACCCAATTGGGACCCAGGTAAATATTCCTGACAGCACCCTAGTGGGCCACAGATGGGCCTCATGTAAGTTAACCACATGGGCCCCACTGAAAGCCCAGTTAGCACCCATTGAAATCTACTTGGGCAAACCCATGTGGGGCCACCATGGAAACCGTGGACAAACCCACTTGTTACCCATATTCTAGCCCAGTTCAGACCCAATAGGGACCCAGGTAAATATTCCTGACAGCACCCTAGTGGGCCACAGATGGGCCTCATGTGAGTTAACCACATGGGCCCCACTGAAAGCCCAGTTAGCACCCATAAAAATTTACTTGGGCAAACCCATGTGGGGCCACCATCGAAACCGTGGACAAACCCACTTGGTACCCATATTCTAGCCCAGTTCAGACCCAATTGGGACCCACGTAAATTTTCCTGACAGCACCCTAGTGGGCCACAGATGGGCCTCATGTGAGTTAACCACATGGGCCCCACTGAAAGCCCAGTTAGCACCCATTGAAATCTACTTGGGCAAACCCATGTGGGGCCACCATGGAAACCGTGGACAAACCCACTTGGTACCCATATTCTAGCCCAGTTCAGACCCAATAGGGACCCACGTAAATATTCTTGACAGCACCCTAGTGGGCCACAGATGGGCCTCATGTAAGTTAACCATGTGGGACCCACTGAAAACCCAGTCAGCACCCATTGAAATCTACTTGGGCAAACCCATGTGGGGCCACCATGGAAACCGTGGACAAACCCTTTTGGGACCCATATTGCCTGCCCACTTATATCCCATATGGGGCCCACCTAGGTATGCTGGCTGGGTTCTCTCAATTTACTTCCATAGGTTGTAAAATGAATTGATTGGTCGGAAGCTCTTTATTGTTTCCCCTGCTTATACATTATGGTAAAGCAACGTCAAAACACAGAAACAAAGATGAGTACTGACAGAATGAAACACTTGACACCAGAAGTTTACACACCAGATAAGATGATTCATTTACCTTCAACAAAATGTTGCGTTTAGCAAATAGGAATCACTTGAGTAATTCTAAATGACATAAGACAAAAGAAGTTTGTTCTGATTTAACTTCGAGCAATACAAAGAAAATGTGTCTTTTCAGTGAATGTAAACTTCTGGTTTCAGCTGTTCATGTGAGGATCAGTCAGGAAGTCTGCCCAGCACAGCGGAGATTTTTCCATTTAAAGGAAAAAATCCTTTCACTTAATCCTGGGTTCCTACATCAGCATCTGGGTTTCAGCTCCATGGAGCAGATAGAAAGGTTCTGAGCAAAACAGCAGCCGATCGGAGGATGTCCTTTAATAACATGTTTGATTGATATGTGAATGAAATTGTGCTGTTATTGTGTCCTGAACCTGCAGGCTGGTCAGGCAGCTGTGAGGGAGGGTGGAGGACACATCTGCGGTAACAGCCACATCTTATTGCATCAGCTGTGCCTCATTCAAGTAAAAATGTCTACAATTAAAACGGACTTTTAAGATAGGTTGTTAATTTTAGTTTAAAGCGCAAGAAGTCTGTTCAAATCCCCCAGAAGTCACCGTGTTAGCATTAGCCGCTCCAGCTAACAGTAAGCCGGTTAGCTTAAGCTAAGGTAAAACACCGGCTTCTTCCGCTCACTATTTCTGTCAGACAGGAACACACGTCCAGGAGTTTCCTTTTCTGTCTCACTTATGGTCTCAAAATATGCCATTAGTTGCCATTCTGTCCAGTGAAGGCCGTGGTTCAATAACAGTGACGTTTAAAAGATAAGTGTTTAGCGCATGGTTTGGGCTGAACATGACGTCAGTGAATGTGGATGTCTGTTCTGTGAGTGATGTTACTGATGGAGAGAGAGCTCCTTTCCTTTCACCTCTGAACTTCACCGCATGTTGTAACTATCCAGCCATGATTTCAAAGCTAAGTGTAGAGACTGACCTGCTCTTTGCTCGCCTTTTCGGATTTTAGCTTCCGAACGACTTCCCCCTGGACTTTAATGGCCTCCTGGATCTGAGCTTTGTCTTCCATGGCTTTTCATGAAGATCTACCTGAAACAAATCACACCCTCTGCAGCGTGGATCTGTACCACTGCTGTCAAAACCCTGTCTGGGGAGAGAAAGGCGGAAACACTCGCCAGGACAACTTCCGCTCCGTATTTTCAAAACAAAATACTCCACTGTGAAGGTTTACTGTATGGAGGACTGATCCTGCCTAAATGGCTTGGTAAAGTATTTTTTTCTACTACCACATTTTATCAAATTATTTATCTTTCTAATTTCTGACATACGTTTTATTGCACTTAGTTTTTTATTTGCTCCCTCCTGTTTTCCCCTTTGTCCTTTTATTTGAAGATTTATTTTAATCTTTGCTTCTTGTTCTCTTTTGTTTTCTTTCTGCCTTTCTCAGAGGAAAATTGAAAAGGGGGGTAAGGATGAGGCTAAGGCAGCATTGTGGGAACAGATTCAGAGTTGGTTTCTTTACTGTCGATCAGCATCAAGATCCAGTGTGCTGACATTGAGTATGCACTATAGGACACTACATTTGAACTTTTGTAACATTTATGATGGGTATTTTTGGGGTTGTCTATGATATGTAATTACAAATTAAGCAGGTCCAAATTTCAGAGATCAAGTTAGTCAAAGTTTAGAGACCATCGGACGGGATAAAGCCAATAAAATCTCCTCCAATTCTCGTGTCTCTCTTCCTGTTTATAGGAGAGCAAGAAGTACTACACAGTAAGAATTTGAGTAGAACACAATAAAGTTATCTGTGTACAGCAAGTAAAACTGTTATGTCCATGTGAAAGTTGGGTTTTTATTTGTGAAATTAGTTCTTACACTTTAGTTGAGCAGTAATCTATTGAAATCATTTATATTTGGCAATTTAGAAATACATCATGTCACAGGTAATCCACTTCTTTCTCTAAAAAACAAATGAGCAAAATCTGTGCAAAATTCTTCCTGCTAGGACTTTAAACTCCATCTGAAAGGCGACATCTTCCTGTTCAAACAGGATTCACAGTGAACAAACATTCAAAGTCCAAACCAGTTCAGTTAACAAGCCTGTCTCCACAGCTTTTGTAAGTATGTCTATAAACTTTATTAAGAATCTAAAATCAGATTAAATGTAACTGTGTGTTGTTTAATTTTCAGTTTGAGAATGGTTGAAGTAAAGCGTTTCATCAGAGTGTAAGCTGATGTTTCAGGGCCCAGTAGTGGCTCAGGACAGTAGAACTTTACTTTGGAGATAAAAAAAAACTGAGTGGAGTCCAGACTTCCTGCTAATTTTCACGCTCTGACTCCTTGAGTACCTGCAATTAAATCCCTACTGTTGTTTCTGTTCTGGTTCAGTCTGTGTTTACAGCTCATCAGTTCACATGCAGATTGATTGTTCCTTAACTGTCTCTGCTTTGAGCAGCTGTTGGCTTAACTCCCTTGATCTGGAGCCCAATTTCTACATACAACACCACCCTTCCTTCAGTCAGGTGGTGTGGAGAATATCTGCTCTTATTTTCTCTCTAAGAGAGGGCCTGTTGTTGTCAATGTTCTTATGTTAGTGATGTATTAATTTGATTTTGATTTTGAACATTTACTGATTCTGCATTTTAGAGTAGTTCTGCAAAGTCACAGTGCACCTTTTTAGTTCTGGTTGTTTCCGTATTAACAAACCTCTCATATTGTTCACATGTTTACCCTCTGACAGGACCGGAGTAAATCCACATAGCATGGAGCTATCTCCTCCTCCCACAGGGTTAGAAGCTGAGAGTGCAGCCCTTTTCAGCGCCGGATCTCTTCACTTCCTGCATGAGCTGATCTCCACGTTTAATGAGGAGGTGGAGAAGGTAAAACAATCCACAGGCCCTTGATGGGCTCAAGGAATGAGCAGTTTATCTTCTTCTTCTTCTTCTTCTTCAGATCCTCCAGCTGAGAGTGTCCAGAAAGGCTCACCTAGATCTCTCGGGTGAACTCCCAAATTTCCTGGAAGGCACTGCACACATAAGGGCAGACCCAAACTGGAGGGTGCTCCCAGTCCCTCCCAGGCTCCAAAAGAGGCATGTGGACATTGGAGACATGGCCCCCTGTGATACCGCACGCTTCATCAGGGCTCTGCAATCTCCAGCACAGGGCATACAGGTAAAGAACCTTCACCACTTTCATCACACAGAGCTTTAGGAAACGTATTGAGGAAATGTTATTTTTGATGTCTTGTCCAGTATGCAGTATCCAGTCTTTATTATTATTTACACATTGTGTTTTTTTTAACACAATATCACAATGTGCACCCATTACAAGTCGCACACATGCTCTTCAACTGTGTAGTCAAGTTTGTGGTTGTAATGACAGATTTTATGGGTCAGACCAACAGACACAAGAACACACATGTGAAGTGGAAGAAAAAAAAGAAAAAAAAAAACAAAATCTGAAAAGTGTGGTGTGACTTTTTTTTCTGCACCCCTAAATCAAATCTAGTGCAACTGGTTGTTTTCAGAAGTCATTTCAGAGCAAAGTGTCGAAGATGAACAGCAATAGTTTGGGTTATTTCACCTGTAGGAGAAACATTGAGTCATATTGTCATCATGTCATAAATGTTACATTTCCAGAAATATATATTTTATTAGCAAGCTAAATACTTAGTTCCAAAATTAAGTAAATATTTAGCTTAAGGCTGAATATATAGTTTCAATATTAAATATATATTTCGCTTGAACCTAAATGATAGGTATTTGTGAATCTAAATAAAAGAACAAACAGACAACGCAAGTGAATTTTATGAAAGCTTTTGCAAAAGGAGAGAACCCAGCAAACTGCTGCTTCCAGCCGTTCACTGAGCGCTCTGAAGACCCTTTGTTAGGGCTTTCTCTTTTATTACAAAGTAGAAAGTAGAAAAGGAATGTGGAGGGAGGCAGATAGGAGTATCCCGAAGATACAAGTGGTTGCAGCTTCAAGGTCTGTACACAGTTGTAGCTAACAAGTATGAGAGCTTTTCTCAGGAATGTGAATACTAAATCTATTATAACTACCAATGTAAGAATGATAACAAAACATAATTATTCTAACACTAAGTATTTATGCTATCTGAATGTTCATATTCTAGTCAGGTATTTAGTTTGGAGCTAAATAATGCTTATGAATTGATATTTGGCAATTATTGGTAATTAGTAGAAATAAATTGTGAAAATATGAGTGAAATCTTCTGGCTAAATAACCTGAATAACTTGAATAACTGATCTGAAACTCGTTTCTGTGTAAAAATTCACACTACATGTGTTCAGCTTGTGTTTATGTTGTCTGCACAGATGCACATATTGAAACTAAAGCTGCCAACATTTCTCTAGTTATAACCTTTAGTTGGATGAAATCTTCTTTTTGCTTTTCTCAGGTTGACTTTGATGATGGAAATTGCCCAACATTCCACAACCAGATCAAAGGGATTCACAATGTCATTCTGGCAGTGAACAACCGACTCCCTGGTGAGTGTCTGACTTTACAGCCATGTTCATTTTGCATCACAGTATTTGTTAGAGTAGAAGACAGAACACTTGCTCTGATGAGTCCTGATGTTTTTTTGATTCTCTTGTGGGAATGCAGGGGCCCCACACATCTCCCGGGCCCCGGTGCTGATGTTGCGTCCCCGGGCCTGGAACATGGTGGAGCACAACATGATGGTAACATGCTACTGCTATGTTTGTTAGCATGAGCTCCTTAAGGCTACTTTGGATGCATGGATGTTACTTAAATCACCTAACTGACCGTGTTTGCCATGGGGATGGTGAAGCTGAGGGGTTTGGAAGTCTGCATGTTGATATTTACTGAATCCAAAACCATCAGGTGGAGGGAAAGGAAGCTCCTGGTCCTCTGTTTGACTTTGGCCTGCTCATGTATCACTGTGGAAGGATGCTGCTTGAACACCAGAGTGGACCATTTTTCTACCTGTCAAAGGTAAAGTCAAAGCCATAAACAGCCTTCTGTGGCTGTTACAAGTCAGTATCTCAAACCATATGCAGCTTCACGGGTAGAAGGAAAAATATTCATCTGCTTCCATCATAAATACGCTGTTATCAGGATATTTCAGATCGTTTCCTCTGAAATGACTTATCCAACATAAATGGAGCATTTTTTCACAACTACAGCAGCTGAATGAATCTGACTGGTTTCAAAGGAAAGCTAAGGCATGTCAGAAACTTCTATGGTGGCCCAGAAGGGTCAACAAAGTGTAAAAGGCAAGTTTATAGTAACTCGAGAATGAATTCTGTTGTGACATTTGCACTTCACCCTTCCATAAAAATCATCTGGAAAACTGCAAACACCTTAAAGAGATAATATTAATTTTATTGTGATCGTGGAGCTTCATGGCATTTAAAGTGGACATACTTTTAATTTCAAACAGGTCAGTAACAATGAACCCAACTAGTAATGCCCATCAATTTTCTGTAGCTCAATGATAAATTCACATGGAATATATAATTAGAGCCAAACTGAATACTTTAATTATAAATCATTCAGGGTAACTTTGAGTTGTAGAATGACAAATATCTAATAAAGCAGTCACTGATCATGTCCACAATTATTTAGAGCTTGTTTGTACCCAAACCAACAAGTATGAAGTTTATTTAGATTAATTCAGAACTAATATACAAAGTATTCTTAAAGACATTATACTTGCTAAACCTGGAATGCTTTCTCCAGGGATGATTCAGCAGGAACCTTCATTATGGTGGCTGATTAAGGCCACTGTAAAAAAAAAGTCTCCTCACACATCCTGCCTAAATGTTTTCAACACAAGAAAAGAAATGAACCAATAGTTTGTAAAGAATTTTAGGACCTTCAAAGAAAAAGATTCATGGGAGTTTCACAAAACAGCCTTTTCTAGCTTCCTGCAGCAGCTAGCAGCATATGTGGCTTTAATACTAAAGGTATTACAGCACCATGTTTTATTAGTCGTTTTTATTTTTGCTGCTTCACTTTACTTTTGCCACATATGATGACATCTTCAGACTGTTCATTGGTGGGATGTTTGCATGTTTCAGTTTTGCCCTAACTTGCAGGTGGAGGGCCTGGAGGAGGCCAGGCTGTGGAACAACATCTTCATCTGGACACAACAGAAGGTCTGACTCCAAAAAATGACTTTCAATAAGTTATTAGGAGAATTTTCATCTATTTTATATGTTAGGTTAAAATGTAAAAATAAATCCATGTTATTTTCAGTAAGAGTAAATCTGATATTAGAACAGGAAATACAGCAGCAGTCAGAGGTCTGGTCTAAATGACAGAGCATCACTAGTGTCAGTCACACCTGAAATCAATATCAGACGTTAGAATAAACTCAAACATCTGATTGGTTAACCCATTCTGACACTCAGGTATAGGCCTCCTTGGAAATCAAATTCACTAGAATAGCTTTCTTGAAGCAAGATTGATTTTCACTTATGAGACAAAAAATTATTCATGGTACCTTTTGAAGAACATCTAAGATATGTTGCATCAATCAGAGGCAATCATTTTTCAGATATTAGGAAATTGTTTTCATTCTGCTTGGCTATCTTCTGTGTTGAACTGCAGATAATAGTCGGGTTGTTTTAGGATTATTTAACTGAATAAATATAAATGTGCACGATGTCAAGAGAAGTGTTTCTCTTCTGGGTTTGTAGTTGTCAGTATAAAAACGTGTGTGTGTGTGTGTGTGTGTGTGTGTGTGTGTGTGTGTGTGTGTGTGTGTGTGTGTGTGTGTGTGTGTGTGTGTGTGTGTGTGTGTGTGTGTGTGTGTGTGTGCAGCTGGATCTTCCACTGGGCTGCATCAAAGCAACGGTGCTGATAGAAAACGTGTTAGCAACATTTGAAATGGAGGAGATTCTCTATGAGCTGCGGGAACACTCAGCAGGGCTCAACTGTGGCATCTGGGATTACTCTGCTTCCTTCGTCAATAAGTTTGGTGAGCCCTGTGTGGCGCCTGCTACTTTACCATAACCAACAGAACACAAGGGGTCACAAGGGGTCACATCTTCCAGGTCACCGTCAGGACTTCCTGCTACCTGACCGCAGCAAGTACGTGAACATGGAGAAACGTTTTCTGCGGAGCTACATGGACCTGCTGGTTCAGACGTGTCATAGACGGGGAGCGCTGGCCACAGGAGGCATGGCTGCTCCGTTGCTGCCTCATCGCCAGCACACACACTCCTACAGCACAGTGCTGGCCTCTGTGGAAAGGTACAGACAGCACAACGCCACAACCTCAGGCCTTTGCTCTGGCACACACACACACACACACACACACACAGACGGAGTGGTTTCAAAGAGGAGGTGTGAGAATCGTTGTGCTCATTTTTATTAAAAAATGAACAAGATAGAAACCCATCAATAAGTAACTGTATGTTGTTATTGTTTGTAACACAAAGTTTTACAATTTTTGTTTTAGGGGAAATATTTTTTTCTTATATGATGCAATATCACTTTCTCCTTCAGTGTTTTCCAGTCAGTTTTCTATTAAAGTAAAAGTTTTGTATCACATACACCCTCACAGTTGCTAATTTTGGCTCATTAGATCTCTCTCTGACAGCAGGTGTTTAGAAATGGCCAAGCTTACTTTACCAGTTCTGGGTTATTTATTTTATCTATATAATAGGATTTCAGCATTAATTATGTTAAAATCAGAGCTGATACCCATAAACAGCATGTTTGGGTGCTGGTGGCTGATGATGATGGTTCATTTTCTGCTTCTTGTTGGTACTCACAAGACCCATTCTTGAAACAAGGTGATGTCATGTTTTGTTGGAAGAGCTAGATTTTACCACCTGTTTCTTTTCATGTAATTTCCATAATTTAAAGGAGTAGTACTTTCTAGAATTTAATATGAAGGTTTTTGTTGTTGTTTTTTGATGTAACTCCTCTTCCTTTTTGGTAAATATCTTCTGCTCCTGTTTTTCTGCTCTTCAGGCTGAAGTTATTGGAAATCAAGGCAGGTGTTGATGGCTTCATGGTGTATGACATGAATTTGATCAAACCCATGCAAGAAGTGAGTATCTGATTATACTGATTTAGTACTGCATAGGGCAGCTCTCAGTTTTTGTTCTATAAAAAAGGAGCATGATTTGATTTTCCTGTCTATGTCCCACATATCAAATTCAACTGAAAGAGAGAAAATTCATTACATTTTCATATATAAATATATTTAGTAGCTAGACATTATAGTGACTCTAATTCTGCAATTTCAAAAAGGGATGTCTGCACAAAACATCAGAGCACATCACCCAAAGAGTAACACCACTTTAACATATTTTTACTGAAGTAAAAGAAAAGACTTGCAATACCCCAAAAAATGATTCGACTAAAAAAGCATTTAATGAAAAGGCTGCTTAAGTACTGATGAACAGCTTAGAACGTCTGAGTTAATATTTCACAATGATGTTAATAATAGACAAAAATATTCAATTATTTGTCATTTTGGTCATCTTAAAGACTAAAATAAAGCAAATGACTAATAAGATGATTACAAAACTGAACAGAAAACTTAAGAAGCTACAGCAGTAAATGTTACATAAGTTTGCGGCTCTGCCAGTGACAACATATGGTCTTACTGTACCTTCTAGATCTATAGAGTTAGACTGTCTGTTTTTCATTCAGTGTTACTCTCACTAAATAGAGGATCCAGAATCTTTACTCATGCAAGAACAGAAAAACTTCATTATAATACTATTCAAGTAAAACTAAAAACTACAGTGTAGTGAGCATCAGCAGAATAGAACATTTTGGATTGGCCTGCACAGAATCCAGATCCAAATCTGACAGCGCCTCTGTGAGGTTGCCTAAAGGGGGGGCAGTGGAGTACAGGTGACCTCTGCAGGCTACAGTGGGAAAAGAAAGTTTTCTTCCAAAACTGCTTAGCACTTTTTCCCCTTTCTAGATGTATTTGTGCTTCAGTTGAATTTTACAGCATGTGTCACAGTAGTAATGAAAAAAGTTGGAAATGATTTCTCATGGTTTCAGGTTGTTACATTGAAGTAAGTTGGCATTTTAGCATGAATGGTGATGTTTCTTTTCCTCCAGCTGTTTGAGCTTCACACTGAAGGTGACAACCAGCTCCACCGGCTCCGGGGCGATGTCAGCGTGACTCCTGAGGACCTGCTGTCTATGCCCTCTGTTAGTGGAATCAGGGCTTAGATTGGAGACTGTTTGGAACAAAGTAGCAAGAAGGTTCAACAGAGCATTTGTTTTTGTCTTTTTCCTCAGGGAGGAGTCACTCTTTATGGGCTAAAGTATAACATTGCAGTGGGTATCCTGTTTATTAATGCCTGGCTATCAGGTGAGAGACATACACCAAGACTTTGGGCAAAAGTCATGAGATGCTTGCTCTCACTGAGGTGCACCATGTTCTCTGTTGAGTCCTGAACCACCCGAAGCCCTTCCCTGCCAAAAATGATGCTAAAAACTAGTTTAACATAATGAAACAATTTTAGCAACTCTGATTAATTTTTTGTTAGCTAGTACAGGGCTGTAAGAGGACCATACTGCTGTTTTCCAGGTAAAGGCCATTTTTTCTACAGAGGCCAGGTGGAAGACTCAGCCACCGCAGAGATTTCTAGATCCCAGGTAGGTTCCAGAGACGATCCTCTCACAGTTCAGTAAATACATCACTCCTGAGATGGTTTGATAAAGAAAATCACAGGTGAACAGAGTCCAGATACTAAACCACAAAAAAGAGTGGTAGACGGTTGACATGTCCAATAGAACCTGCTTTCAGCCAAGCACATGAGAAACTGAATCAGTCAGACTGCAACACAGATAAAACATGTTTATTTCTTTCAGGGATCTGCAAACTCAGGTAGACTCAAAATGAATTTCTACTAGACAGCACCTCAAAATGAATTTCTACTAACTCCAGCCCCGATGCATTAAACAGGACAGTGACACAGACAGCTGAAAAAGATCCGCTGAAAATATGTCCTAATGGTCAATCTGGACCTCAGAAGCCTTTGGGTAAAGTGGATGAACAGTTCATATATCATACCTTTTGTTTGTCTGATTTTATGAAGTAGAACTCACCAAAGAAGAACTCTAACATAGAAATCTTAGTTTACAGCCTAACAGTTCTGCTACTGAGAAAGTCCTGACTGGCATTAAAATGGACCAAAATACAAAACAGAACTATGTACCAGTAACAATGGACAAAATAATTCTTGAACAGAAACTAAACTGGACTGAGTAGGATGAATTAGTTCTGCAGAACAGCTTTTAACTTAGTAAACATCTGTGCCAGGTGTGGCAGTGGATCCGACACCAGGCTCGGCTGGAGGATGACAGCAGGGTGGTGAACAGGCAGCTTGTTACTGAACTCACCAAGGAGCTCAACAATGAACTCAGCCGTCTGTGTATCTCTGAAAAGTAAGTATGCTGCAGTGAAGGACTTTGGCTTTTCGTCGCTTGAATTGCTCTCCACCCATAACGTTTATCTGCTTTAGGATGGAACAGAGGTTACACACAGCAGCAGACATGTTCCTAGAGGTAGTTCTGAAAAGACATTTCCCAGAGTTCATCACGTCTTACCTGAACTTGGACCACACTTTTCTCACCTCCCAGAACCTGAGAGAGGAGGAAGAGATGGAAATAGGAAGGCCGCGAGCCAAACTGTGAGGGGCAGCCTGCAAATCACATACTACTGTCAACAACCTAAAAGTCATGACATGTATGCAGCTGATTCTGTGCAACGCAATCTTTCCCTTACTAGTCCAGCTTAGGCATTCAAATTACCAGTCAGAAAATGACTTCATTTCCACAATATTGCGGTGCAAGACTCTTCACACAGCAAAACAACATGAAGGGTTAAATTAGCTAAAAGTGAAAGGTCTGTACATTAAAATGTGCAATATTTAATCAATGTTGGCAACCGATTCTGAATCGGTCTCAAAACTGTGAATAGCAAACTAATATGTGATCGTCTACAAGTTTAACTGTGAGCTAACAGCAGACTAAGTTCTATCAAAACTGACCTTCAGAGAATCAATGCATGACATGAGAAAACAGAGGCTTGTATGATAATAAAATTAATCCAGAAATAAAAAGTTCTGGTTCTGCTAGAGGTTTCTTCCTGTTCAAGGGGAGTTTTTTTTCTCTCCACTGTCTCTATATGCATGTTCAGTATGAGGGATTGCTGTAAAGACAATGATTTGATGTAATCTGCTGGGTTTTCTTAGAGAAAAATGTTAATAATTTGAACAATAAACTGAGCTTAATCTGTTTGAGATGGTAGTTGTTGTGAATTGGTGCTACAGAAATAAACCAATTTTATTTTCTTCACAATGGATGTTCATGTTTTCTGGTCTACACACACACAGTTAAATGTTTGTCGCGGATGTTGAGGAACTGAAGCTGTTGGGGACCAAGACCCTAAAGTTCATACCTGTTCTGATCCATGAAGATGTTTGAACCTCCTGCTCTGCAGTCATGAATCCTCAATTCAACTCCTCTGAAATTTGGGGTCAGAGGTCAAGTATCACAAGCCCTGGGGGATGCAAATCAGCTGCCACCTGTTGTAAAAACCTTGTTGCCATGGTTATGCATTACAACTGAAAGTTAGAATAAAAAGCAGATATCTTTCCATATGCACTGCATCCAGAACCAAAGGGAGTAACTGTCCAAACAAAAAACATGAAACCAAAAACTGATTAACAAAACTAATGCAGCAGAAACACTCTAATATATTCCCACCACTAGAGGTGCTATTCAATTCAGTTTCAGTGCTCACAAATTCACCACTTTGCTTAGAAAAGGCCACAGGTGGTGAGAAGCAGCAGCTGAGGGAACAGGAAGTGAACATTCTGTCCAGCAACATGACTGACTGTTTGGTCTTACTGCTTCCTGTTTCTGCAGGAAGCAGTAAGAATAAGCTGACATGGTCAGCCAGCTTACTCTCCCTAACCTCCCACCACAACACACACACTTGTCACACAAGTTTTGCAAACAGTTTTATTAATTCCTCTGTCAGTTTGTAATATATAAATTACTTTTAAAAACATGAGAAGCAGATGCACCAACAAGAAGGACTTGGCATGAAAACACAGGCGTTCTAGAAAACCTAGAATGTGTTCACCAGGCCGCTCCGGCCCGCCAATGACCACACTTCCCACAATCTTTTGCCTCCCAGTGTAAATATATCAGTTCTTTCCTGATGCCATGAACTGGGCAGAGCCTTTTGTGTTGTTTAAAAAAAAGTCTGATGGTTCTGTTCCCTTTGCCGTCCATCCTCGAGCGCTCAGTCCAGCAGATCAGTGCAATATGTGGGGGTGGAGGATAGGGTGGGGCTGTGGTGGTAAACTAAGGTGTCTGGCAGCACTCCCCCCTTTCATCGCCCCATTCTTCCCCCTCTCCTCATATTTCATGTGCGAGGTCATCATTCTCTCCTGCCGACAGGTCGCCGTTGGCGCTGATTGTGGTGCTGTTGTCTTGGTAACCGGGGGGCATGAAGGCCAGGGAGTAAGGGTAGATCTTGTGGCAGGTGGCACGGTAAGACTCGGCTGTTTTCTGCTGAGCCTCGCCCAGCTGGCCGCTCCTCAGAGCCTCCAGCACCTCAGAGCAGATCTAGGGACAAACACACATCGCTTCTGTTACCATGGCGCTCACTGTGGTGCCCCCCAGTGATCAAACAACTCACCTGGATGCTTCTTCCAGACAGAGGCTCGGCCAGAGCTGTCGCGATCTCACCGGCCATTTTATCAGAGGATGGCTCCAGGTAGACCATCATCTTAGCAGCTGAAGACACAAGGAGACACGGGCCTGAGAGGTGCTTCTGGTGCAAACATTGCATAGAACAGAGTTCAGAACAGATTCAGTTAAATCAGACACATGCTTCTTATTTAAATCGGCCAAAACGTGTTTATCTTCCCCAGGGAAGACTGAAGCGCATGAACAGATGATCAAAAATAGATGAAAAAAAAAAACTAAAAAAAAAAAAGAATATATAGAGGAAACTTTAACATTCATGTTGACACTGAGGACAACAACCTGAATGTAGCTTTCAGTATCAAACTAATTTGGGTTTACTCAAAGCATTCACAGTCTTTGAATGCAGGTCATTTTTTTGCCTCTAAAAAAATGACCTGATTGCACGCTAGAAAAGACTATTGTTGTGTTCAGGTTGAGCTAAAAGGAGTTAGCCTATCAGCAAAACTATTTAAGCCTAAAATAGCATCTCAATGTCAACCATTTAGCTGCAGCAGAGGCTAACGCTAATGTCAGCTTCTACAGTCACATTTCTACAGAAACTCCATGAATGATCAGGAGTTCCTGAAACTCTGGAAGGATTATTGAATAACACTTTGATCCAATCTGATGGTGGAGAAACTTGAATAACAGATTAAAAAGTACAAATATCTTTCTTGCAGAATTTGTATTTGTATTTAGTCAATATTTTAACGGTCATAAAGGGGTTCTGAGTTAAACATGTTTATTTTGTCAAAATGTGGTTTGATTAAAATGCAATAGTGATTAGTTAATTACAGCCCCTTCAACAAACTTTTAATTGAGTCCCACCATCAGCAAAATATTTTTTACAATATGTAAAGACAGGCTACATACAAGAAAGCAGAAACTGTTGCTTTCTTGCAAAGCTGTCTTTAGTAAGTCTGTCTACTGTTCTCAAGTTAGCCTTTAGTTTCCCACGTTTTTACTCATTTTAGCAGTTTTGATTTTGTACAATCCCAATGTTTTCTTGAACTCCACGTGTTTAAATCAATAACTAGAGCTGAGCCAGGAACACGGTGCAGCCTGTAGCTCCTCGCTCTGAGCCGTACCTACCAGCCAGCCGGTGGGGGATGCAGCTGGAGTGTTGGCTCAGGTAGTTCTTGTTGAAGCTCTGAGGGTTGCTGTCTCCAAACAGCCTGGAGATCTCCTGCTGCAGCACAGTCCTCACCACCTCAGCCAGGTCTGCACTCTCACTCACTGCAGGCAGCAAATACTCAGCTTTAGTCACCTCTGGAAGGACTGAGAGCTGAACACAGCCAGCAGTCACTTTCTCACCCTTCTTAAAGAAGCGTACTAAACACTGGTGCAGCCATGGGTTGGAGGGTTCTATGGCCACCGCTCTCTTTACCGACTGCAACATCAGAAGGTACTTCTCTGGGAGGTAAAGAACAGACAGACAAATTATGGTGGAGGATAAAACTTTTGTTTTCTCTACAAAAACAGGCTAGATCAGTTGCTGAGTTTCCATCTAATTATCATACTGATTTTAGACAAACCTTTAAGTTCTATGTACTGGTTTGGAGGAAATCTACCAGGCTATGTCAGATGTTGATGACATGTATGGCTGTAATAAACAGGAAGTTGAGGTAGTAAAATAGGATGGACCACACATGTCAGAAGAAGTCTTTCCCTCTGAACAGGATAGGTTTCACAGACCCAGCAGAGGATGAGAAAATTTGCTACATTGGAACTTATTCTGTAAAAATATTTCAGAAAATCCAAAAACCTGTTTACATTCATGTAATCATAAAAATGTTGCCAAAATAAGAAAATTATTTGAATTCTGCAGTTCCATCAACCTTTTCTAGTGCAACACTTTAACATGTGGATAAACCAGGTTGCAGATCAGTACCGCTCTCTGTTCTCAGACATGTTGGCACAAACTTGCCATGCATTGTTACCTCTGATTCTAATACATCTACTAAACAACTGATCACACGAGAATATATCCTGTAGAACCTCAAAGAGATTTCCCTGAAAAGAATCTGGAATCAGTTCAAAACTGTATCAGCAGGCCAGATTTTTACAAATCCTGCGGATTGCTCATCCAAGTTACACTCAGCAGTGTATAGCTCAGTAAAGGGTCAGTCCATCTACTAGTCCATCTAGTTATTACAGAACAGACTTAGAAAGGTTTAAAGGCTGAATTAATCACAGCAGTCAGACATATTTAAACAGAAATGTCTGACTGCCAATCTGAAGTTGCCTTGAGGCAGCAGATGTGGCTGACCAATCCCATCCTTCCTCTGAGCTGCCAACCTTTCCTGAAGTAGATCTCAAAAGCCAACAGGTGAGTCTCGATCTTGTTGCGCACCAGGTTCTTCAGAGGGATGAGGAACTTGACTGCCTCCTCCAAAGGATTCTCTGGCTGGGGACACACAATCAGAATGAGTTTTTAATCATTTATTTTTAAAGTCCAAAAGTGTTCCTTCAAGTTGACAGAACACAAGAAAGCCCTGAACCCACCTTAGCTAACTTATCTGGTATTAGCTCCTCCTTGGGCCCTCCAATTTCCTCATCATCATCTTCCTTTTTCTTCTTTTGATTCTTTAGTTGCTTCTCCTTCTCTGCATTCTTCTTCTCCTCCTCTAACTGAGCCTTCTTCAGCGCTCTTCGTTGTTTGTTCCGCAGCTTCTTCAGCTCCTTGTCTGTTAGGTTCTCTGCATAAACAGAAAAGTTTCATTTCTAAGTGCTTTTTCCACACCAAGCATGTAGCTCTCTTCTAAAGCCAGAGGAGACACGGCATCATACCTGCATCTGCCTGCCTCTCTTTATTGTCATCGGTCAGTGGTTTGTCATGTAGGTCCAGGTAGATCTGGATGGCAGTGCGAGCAGCTTTGTAATAGAAGGGATGCTGTCGCAGAACATCCTCCAGCTTCAGCAGGTCCACGTAGGAGCGCAGCGTCATCTTCCTCATGCAGTAGGTGTGGAAATCAAACTGGTCGTCTGTGATCTCCACAAAATGCTGAGAGACACAAAGACAGGACAGATTTAGAGTTCCATGAATCCAGGTGGTGCACTGAGAAACCAGAACAATGCAGCAGATTAACACGTTAATCTGCGTATTGAACAATTAACTGTTAATTGTTCAATATGGAAAAAGAAACGATTCTGACTTCAAGAGTAACAGGAACAGCAACCGAGCAAAAATTAAACATGCATGGTGGTTTTAGACTTCTTCACAATAATGGACGCCTGTGATGACAGAGTAACAAACATACCCTCTCTATCTCATGGCACTTCTTCAGGGCCTCACCAAACTTGTTCAGGGCCTTGTAGGCCAAAGCACACTCTGTCTGGAACCACATGCACTGCATCTCATTCAGGTTCTCCACTGCAGATGTACCCTCCTGGAGACAAGATTCACAAACACATGAGGTGAATGAAACCTGTTAGAAGAGCATCAGCCATGAGGCCAGAATAACACTCTGCACCAGAAACAGCTAACAACTAAACTTTAAGGGCCCGTGAGTCAATTCAGTTCAACTCACAATTACTTTATCCCAGAGATATTCAATTTTCAAAGAGTCATTCATTGTGATGGTGACTTGATGGTCAAG